CCATGAAGGTTAGGTCGCATGGGATCCAGGGAGAGCTAGCTACTTGGATTCAAAATTGACTCAATGGTAGGATGGACGAAGGTTGTTTCTTGGGCTGGAGGCTTGTGACTAGTAGTATGCCACAGGGGTCAGTGATGGGATCTTTGTTATTTACATAAACGATCTGGATATGAATGTACAAGGCATGATTAGTAAGTTTGCAGATGATACAAAGTTAGGAGGTATCATTGATAGTGAAGAAGGTTATCAAAAATTATAGAGGGATCTTGATCCGATGGGAATGTGGGCTGAGGTTTGCCAAATGCAATTCAATACAGATAAGTGTGAGGTGTTGCACTTTGGAAAGTCAAACCAAGGTACTACTTATACAGCAAATGGTAAGGTCCTGAGGAGCGTTATGGAACAGAGGGACCTAGGAGTACAGGAAGGCATTTAGCATGCTGGCCTTCATCGGTTGAGGCATTGAGTGCATGAGTTGGGATGTTATGTTACAATTGTATAAGTCGTTGGTGAGGCTTGTAGTATCGTGTACAGTTTTGGTCACCCTGTTATAGGAAAAACATAGTTAAACTAGAAAGTGTGCAAAGAAGATTTACGAGGATGTTGCCAGGACTAGTAGGCCTGCGTTATAGAGAGAGGTTGGCCAAGGTAGGACTCTATTCCTTGGAATCTAGGAATGGGCTGCCAGAGAAAGTGGTTGAGGCAGGTACAATAGCAACATTTAAAAAACATTTCGATAGGTACATAGATGAGAAGGGTTTAGAGGGGTATGGACCAAATACAGGCAATAGGAACTAGCTGAGTGGGTATTATGGTCAGCATGGACTAGTTTTGGCCAAAGGGCCTGTTTCCATGCTATATTACTCTATGGCTCTATGACTTTATTTAAAATTAATTACTGATCCTTCATCCACTGCTGTTTGAGGTAAGAGTTCCAAACATCTACCACACTTTGTGTGTAGAAGTGTTTCCTAACATCTCTCTTGAACAATGTCACCCTAATTTTCTAATATGACCCATAGTTCTAGAATCCAAAACAAGTGGATATAGGCAACCTCTATTTATCTTTTCTTATTAATAGTTTGAATATTTTGATCATTTCACCCCATAGTAACATAAATTCTGGAGACAACAGGTGTAATTTGTACTGAAAACAACAAATGCCGGAGATCACAGCGCATCAGGCAGCATCCATGGAGAGGGAGCAAGCTAATGTTTTGAGTCTAGATGACTCTTCATGTGAAGTGAAGTGTGGAGGGGACAGCATTTATGCTATAGTTGAGGGATGGATGCAACGTAGTGTGCTGGGGGAGAAGATGTGTTGATCATTCAGATTAAGTGATTGGAATGTGAAAATGCCAGAACAACGGTGTGTCAAAACTACCAGACTTGAAAGAACTTCTGCATCCCTGTACTCGAGATATAAATATTAGCTTTCCTGATTATTTTCTGCGCCTATTTGTGACATTTTAAAGATCTATGGATCTGTACCCCCAAGTCTATTTGGACATCCACTGTATTTAATTTCATATCATCCAGAAAGGATCTATCTTTTTTTGTCCAAAATGGATAACCCCATACTTGCATACATTGAATCCCATCTACCACAGTTTTGCCCATTCACTTAATCTATCAGTGACCTTGGTAATTTTATGCTATCGTCTACACTGTCTACATAATGCTGCTTAACTTTGTGAAACCAGTAAATCTGGATATATGACTTTCTATGCCATTATCCAAATCATGAATAAATAATGTGTACAACTGAGGTGCATCACATCCTGCCAATTTACCCACAATCCCAACCTGCTGTCACCTGCACTCAACCTATTTCCCAGCCATATCAGTGATTTGCTCACAATTCTCTGGGCTTCTTCCTTAGTTAACAGTCTTTTCTGTGGGACCTCGTCAAATTCCTTCTGGAAGTCCGCATTAACAACACCCATAGATATTTCCTCATTCAATGCTTTAGTTACCCGTTCAATGTATTCAATGACATTTGTCAGGCATGACCTACTTGCCATGCTGGTTCCCCCTGATTGACGGAAATTTTTGAAAGGTATTCATTTACCCATCCTTGATTATTGACTCCATCAATTTCCCTATACAGATTTTAGGAAAACTGGTCCGTAATTCCTTGGTTTTCTTCTTTTGCATTTCTTAAAAAGTTGAGTGACATATGCAATTTTCCTGTCCAGAAGGATGACTGCACTATCTAGGGAACTCTGAAAGGTTATGGTTGGGATATCTATAATGTGCTTTCCCACCCCCAGATGGAAACCATCAGGACCTGGGGATTTATTACTCTTTGATTCCATTAATTTCCTCATTTAAAGTTTTCAAGAAGATTTGTAGCTTGGGTTGTGGATGAGGTTGTAGACTTGCTTGCTGAGCCAGTGGGTTTGGTTGCAGGCTTTCGTCACCCTGCTCGGTAACATCGTCAGTGCACCTCCACTGAAGCGTTGGTGTTCTGTCCCGCTTGTTATTTATATGCTTTGGTTTGCTGGGGTGGTTGGTATCACTTCCGGTTCTGTTTCTCAGTGGTTTGTACACAGGGTCTAATTCAATGTGTTTGTTGATGAAGTTCCAGTTGGAGTACCAGGCCTCTAGGAATTCCCTGGCGTGTCTCTGTTTGGCTTGTGCTATTATGGATGTGTTGTCCCAGTCGAATTCATGTTCCTCAATGTCCATGTGTAGTGAGACCTGTGAGAATTGGTGGTGTCTCTTAGTGTTTAGTTGATGTTCATGTACCAGTATTATCAGTTTTCTTCAAGTCTGGCCTATAGTGTTTCTCACAGCCCTTGTATAGTATTTTCTATATTACACAGGTTTTGCTGGTTTTGGGTATGGATTCCTTTACATTTGTCAGTAGCTATCGTAGGATGGGAGTTGGTTTGTGGGCTCCTCTGATACCTAGGGGTCTAAGTATTCTTGTGATCGTCTTCAAAATGGCCTTGATTAGTGAGTCTAGTAGTGTTGTGTCTTCCTGTTGTGGTCTGTCTCGGAGGTAATGGTGGATTGTGCTTTTCAGGTATCCATTCGTTTTGAAGACTCTGTATAGGCGCTTCTGTTCTGCTTTGCACAGTTCTGGGTTGCTGCAATGTGTTGTGGCTCATTTAAATAGTATCCTGATGCAGCTCTGTTTGTGGGCATTGGGGTGGTTGCTAGTGTAATCGAGTAACTGGTCCGTACGTGTGGTCTTTCTATATACACTAGTCTGGAGTTCCCTGTTGTTTTTGCGTTCTACCATTATGTCCAGCAACAGTTGTTGTTTTCTTCTTCTTTCATGAATTTTATCCCGGTGAGGATGTTGTTTATGTGTCGGTGGGATTCTTCTAGTTTTGTGTATTTGATAATCATGAAGATGTCATTTACATATTGGCCCTAAAGTTTGGGTTGTAAAGCAGGGCGTGCTTTTGATTCTAACCTTTGCATTACTGTTTCTGCAATCAGTCCTGATACTGGGGATCCCATTGGTGTTCTCTTGATTTGTTTGTATATGCCATCGTTGAAGGTGAAGTGAGTTGTGAGACACAGATCTAGTAGTTTCATGGTGGTGTCATTATTGATGTTGTTGGTGTCCTGGAGTACCTGCTTACATGATTCATCCAGTCGTGTGGCAATTGTCTCTTTGGCTATATCGATGTTTATGGATGTAAATAGTGCTGTTACATCGAAGGATATCGTCATCTCGTCCTCTTCTATCCTGGTGTCCTTGATGATGTTGAGGAATTCTTGGGATGAGTGGGTGGAGTGAGTCATGTTGTCCACTAAGTATTTCAATTTCTGTTGTAGTTCTTTGGCAAGTCTATATGTTGGCGTGCCTGGCAGTGAGACAATGGGTCTGAGGGGCATCCCCGGTTTGTGTACCTTGGGGAGGCCACAGAATCTGGGTAATTTGGATCCCTCTGGCTTCATTTTCTGGTAGTCTGTCTTGCTGATGTCTCCTGAGCTGTGTAAGGCCTGGTATTCCAACTGGAACTTCACCAACAAGTACATTGAATTAGACCCGGTGTACAGACCACTGAAAAACAGAACCTGAAGTAATACCAAGCATCCCAGCAAACCGAGGCATATAAATAACAAGTGGGACAGAACACCAACGCCTCACTGGAGGTGCACAGACAATGTTACCTAGCAAGGTGACAAAACGTTTGCAACCCAACGCATGGCTTGGTGAGCACTTCTACAACCTCAATTTCCTCATTGCTGATGTTTTACTTATGGTAATTTTATTCAGCCCCACTTCCCAATCCATTATTAATTTCCTCAGGACTTCTAGCAAGCTATCCTCCTTTTCTACTGTAAATACTGACACCAAGTAGTTATTCAACATGTTTAACCTGACATTATTTCTAATTTTAGTGGGCTAACATTGCTCATGAATACCCATGTTCCCTTTATGTATCTATAAAATTTCTTTTTATTGATCTTAATGTCTCTGGCATAATCCTTTTTAGTAACTATTTAAAGCTGCTTTGTAGCTCTTTGCTGGTCTTTGTATCTTTGTCATTCAGCAGGATCTGTGCTTGAAGGAAGACGGATAGGAGAGTGTAAATGGGGAGAAATGACGAGAAAAGAAATAGAATATTATAAAACAAAGCAAATAGTAGAAAATAAGCTCAGGTAAGCAGTAGAGAGTAGGACCAAGAGCAAGATGTTTGATGGATGAAAACAATTTAACCACATAACCGCAGAAGAAGAAAACATCGCAGTTTTGAGAAGTGCTGAGGTCCTGAAGCAAATGCAGTTACTCATGTGGTGTCACCTGCCATAAAGAGATTGAGATCTCGTTCACAGATGCTTCAAACCCTGTAAGAAGTGCACAAACAAAAATTCTGAGAAAATTATACCAGGTTGTAAGACCTATGTGGTTTACGAAATCCTGCAGACACAACATAAAATACCACAACTTGTTTTTGCAAGAGGTAGATTTATTTTTTAACCAATGTTGCATGGAATGATTTTGATGTGGAAATGTTAAATATGTTGACCTTTAGCAGGCAGGGTGTCTTGGATCTTGACTCTGCAACCCCTCCCAAGCTTGATTGAAGAAGATTCTATCGTGACCTACTCAGAGTGCGGGCTCTTTCGTGAAGGCTACTGACGGGAATAGACTCCCTCCAACATTTGCATTTTTGTAAGCCATTTCTTTTAGTTTTATATTGTCCCTTATCTATTGAGTTGCCCATGGCTGTTTCTTTTGTGCAGTGGAACTTTTCCCTCACGGAGGATATAAACTGTTTTTTGTGAAAAACAGAGTTAATGTTTCAGGTCCGGTGATCCTTCCTCAGAATGGTCAC